AAAGTGTTAGAAGAGGTGGAAACGATGGAGACTGGCAGGGGGAGATCAGCCAGTCTACCAAAGCCTGTTTTCTGTCCTGGAAGTCTGAAATCCCATGCTCTGTTGCTTCAGTTTTTACAAGAGATTTCTGTTAATGATTGGTTCAGGTATCATGTAAAAGATTTCTGAATTCAGTCAGCAAGACCTAGGTTTGGAGCCTCAGTTCTGCCTTATGAGCTGCATTAAGTTGGGCAAATGTCAATCTGGGCCTATTTTATTTGTAAAACGGGGATAGTATCATTTGTACTATTTGCCTCAAGTTTTTTGTAAGATGCAAATGAAACAAAAATGAGATGGGAATTGGCTTCAAAACTGTTTTTCGTGGGCTAGAAATGCTCATGGTCTTCAGCAGCATTTGAGTGAGATGGAAGGGAACCCAACAGCCATATAGTCCAGCTCATACCAAAAAGGGATTCCCACTTTAACATACAGGAGGAGCCACTGATGGTCTGGGGAGCACTGCTGTACCCAGGGCTTTTGCGTTCACAGTGCTGGACCATCTCTGTCAGGATCTGAGGGAGGAGGAGGTGGTGAAGGCTGGGATGGTTTGACTTGCCTGGCACATGGCGCAGTTGGGTGGGGATGGCTGGTTGGTCCCTTTTCCAGAGAATTTGCTTCTAGGTCAGTGGCAATGGGGGCTGGACTGGTAGCAGGACCTATGTGTGATTTTGGGGTCGCTGCCATTCCTGGGGCTGTAGGGCTACCTGCCCATTGGTACGGTTTCTTGGGGTTGCTAGCTGTGGGGCCAGGAAAGCAGGGCTAGTGGTTTGGGGGGAGACACTGCTATCCTGAGGCTTTTGGGTTTGGCTGTTTCCATTAAGGTCCAAGGGTAAGTGGTATTCCCAAGTCCTAACATTTGGGTACACAATTCTGGACTGCCTCCATCAAGATCTAAGGGAGGTGGTGTCAAAATGGTGGTGGTAGTTTGATGTACCTGGCACCTACTGCCACCTGTCCATAAGGGTGCCTGCTGTTTCAATAGGCTGATCTGCCTTACCTGTAGGTGATTTGAAGACGGTCATCATATCTTCTTGGTCCTTCCTGTCTTCTCCAGATGAAATATACTAAATTCCTTCCGCTCATCTGATCCTCTGTCACACAGATTCAAGGCACTTCATGGTCTTGGCTGCCCTCCTCTGGACAATGGATGCTTGCGCACGTCATTTGGTCAGTAAGTCAACAAGCATTGTTAATGTGTACTATGTGCCAGGCACTGGTGCTAAGCTCTGAAAATAAATTCAAAAAGAAAGTCCCTGCCTTCACAGAGCTTGCCTTCTAAGGAGGGAAGATAACATATAAAAAGAGGTGGTTAAGAGGAGAGGTGCAGGGGCATGGTAGAGGAAAACTGGAATGTAGCCTGGAGAATGGAATACGGCTGGCCCAGGCATCCTTAAATGGAGGTTCTGAGAGGCCAAGGGGGCAGGAGGTACTTATAACATGTTAATTCCTTGCCTGGAGTGAGGTGTCAGGATAGTAGGGGAAGTCTGGAAGGCAGCCTGGAGAGTAATGTCTTTAAAACATAGCATCCAGAATTGAACAGTATACTGCAGCTGAGATCTGATGGGCTGAGTTATAGTATGGTCATCACCTTATTCCTGTCAGCTGTTCCTTGACTAATGAAACCCATGATTGCATTATTTTTTGGACGTCAAACCATACTGAAGACCCCTATTGAACTTAGTTCATTAAAGCCCCCAGATATCCTTCAAAAAGTCAGTTTCACAAGTATAAGATGGAGGAGGTACAGCTAGCAATTTGGAGATCTGGGGGTCTTGTTCTGTGAAGTTTGGATTCAAAGGGCCACACTTGAGGACCTAGAGGGCCACATGTGACCTCAAGCCTGCAGGTCACAGGACACCCCTACGAGTCTAGCCTGTCAAGATCTGCTTATTCTATTCCTGAATCTATCCTCCGGTGTTAGCTACCACTTTCAGCTTTGGGTGGTCTGTCTGCAAATTTCATAAGAATATCATCCATGGCTTTATCCAAGTTACTGAGAAAAATGGTAAAAACACAGGATCAACTGCAAATCCCTGAGGTACTCCACTGGAAGCCTTCTGCCATCTTCAGTCTGGCCCTCCAACCAGTTTTGAATCCATATAATTCTATTATTACCTACTCCACATGTCTTATCAAAAAGGAGTGAGAATATCTAGAACAGATTTTCCCTTTGTTGGCCCCTCCACTTTGTGAAGATGAAGTTATCACTAAAGCAAAAAGAAGTTACTGGCTCTTTTTTGGTAGAGCTTCAGTAGATACTGGATAATGGAAATTGTTCATTGCTCCTCTGTCATGTATCAGACTCGTCATTTGTTTCTCCAACCCCTCTATTTCCTTTCTGTCCAGGTGGTCTGTCTCCTATGCTCTGAAATCCTTTGCCTCCTAGAACTTCCCCCACATCAATACACCTTCTTGGTGGACGTCGCTCCTCCCATCTCTTTTTAACCCTGCCTGTCTCTTCTGAGTCAAAGCTCCCCCTCCAGGCCATATACCTATAATGTTTGCTGCCCCCAAATCTGCACGCACTATTTCCCTCTACATTGTGCCTTGTTTCCAGAATGACAGGGCTGACCTCCAACCTCCTCTAGGGTACATAGGCCATGGCTACTCGTGCAGGAATTCTCAGTTCCTTTTAAAACAGCAGAAACAGGTCCCCCTCCTCCCCCAGAGTAGTTGGGACTCCAGCGCTTTCACCGGACCAGAGTGCCTTTCCCACCACTGAGCATAATGTTGAGAAGAGTGCCTGGAAAAGTCAGTCTAGGTTAGGCTGTTTGATGAAATGAGAAGGGTACCTTCCTGTGAGGTTATTTGTGTCTTCTCTGCTCCCCATGCCGACTTCTGCATTTAGCCCTTTCCAAACTCTGGGGCTGGAACTCATCTGGACCAGGGGGCTGGACTAGAGGATCCTGAAGGTGCCTTTCATTCACTTCTAATTCTGTGGTTTGGACGCTACCAACTCAGCTCAATGAAAGCAGAAAGGATTTCTTTACTTTTACTCTGTACTTTCTGGGCTGGAAGTGTGCTTTGGTTGCTTTGCTAAACCCACCTGTTGCCTGTATCCATCTAATCAGAGCTGTCTGTCCAGATCAGCCTAGGAGCATACACAGCAAACCAAGCTTTCTGGGAAGTTGGGAAGCTAACTCTGTAATCTGCTGGAATCCATTAGAAAAAAAAAATCTACATACTAACTATAAAGAGCCAACCCATGATTTGATCTCAGGACACGCTCCTTTACAAATATCAGAAAATGGAGGGGCAGCTAGGTGGCACAGTGGATAGAGCACCGACCCTGGATGCAGGAGGACCTGAGTTCAAATGCAGCCTCAGACACATAACACTCACTAGCTGTGTGACCCTGGGCAAGTCACTTAACCCCAATGCCTAGCCAAAAAATACATTCTCTCTCCTAGATCTATTTCCCAGATCAGTTGTTTTTCCAATGAGATATTTCACATTGTCTTCTATTTAAAAAAAAAAAGAAAATGGAATATTTTTGGTTCAGTTTGAACAATGTACTTTAGAAATCTAAGCGCTATTATTAAGCTCTGAAGAGGGCTTTGTGTTTTGTGGGAAGAGCGGCTTTAATTACCTTCCACTACTCAAATATCTGCGGTCAGAAAAGTAACACTTGTTTTTAGGAGAGATCATATGCATGGCTGTTGAAATGTCCAGAACTGGTACTGGCTAATGAGAATTGGGCAGGAGGGGATGTGCAGTCCAGATCGACAGCTCCTCTGAAGAGGGAACATGAAACGTAATTGTGTTTAGAGCAAAGCTAGCCCTGAAGCCTTGCACACCTGAAAAGTTCAACCAGTGGAATCAATCTGCACAGTCATCTTGTTGCTTTCATCTCTTTATTAATAGTGCAGCCAGGACTGGTGAGATACGTAGGAATCAGATCCTCCACCTGAAGAGTTTTCTCTAATTCTACCAAATAATACAATAACTGAATAAAGCAAAAGGGTTCCACCAGGGCAAAGCTTGGCAGAAGAAACTTCTAGAAGCAAGGAAACTGCTTGCATACCATGGGATTCTTTGCAAGAGACATAACAGGAAGAAAAATGCCTAGTTCCAAGTTACAGAAGATGGAAACAGGTTGGAATGAAGGATTCCAATGGCAGATAGGAGTCCAATTATGGGACTCTGACAAGGGATAGAAAAAGTGCAGAGGGTTGAGGGATCACTGGACAGAAAAGCTTAAAGAGGAAACTGAATTGAGGTAATCTTAGACATGGCAAGCAGATAATTATGGTTTGGCAGTATTGTGACCACCCTAGAAATTTAAATGAAATATAAAGAGGTGTTCAGTTTGACCTAGCATCTATGTGCTTTTCTAGCTGTCTACCTACTTTTGGGTTGAAAGTCAGGTTGGTAATATGAACATACTTGCCCCCAGAGAGCCTTGAAGACAAGGGGAAATAGCTGCATGTTGCTGAATAGTGTGAATCAACTCCCATCCCTAGATGTTGAGTGACAAAAGTACTATTAAAAAGGGCTAAGACTCTGGCTGCCAGGGTAAGGAAACGGGGCTGAGAGAGGAAAGCATCCAAAGTGAGGTGTGGCCTGATTATACAGTGTGACTGGCAACATATGAAAAACAAGTAAGGAGACCACAGCCCCCAAAACTTCCTCTTCCTTCACATTTAGTAAAACATGGTCGGGTCTTTAGACCCTTGTTGTTGGACAAAATTACTTGGCCTTTAGCAGTCTGGGATGTCGACCACATCAACCCATGTATGTTATTGCACAAAGACTGTTTTTAATCTCAGCAAAACAAGCTAAATAAATAGAATAAAGAAGTGTGACTTCTTCCATGACAATCTCGATATTTTTAGGAAAGAACTTGATGTGGTGGACATGAGGCATTCAAGGTTAACTCTGGCCAAAGGGTTGTTCTGCTAAGACTTAGGAAATATGCAGAGTGACAAACTTTACGGTTTGAGTTCTCTGTTGCTATTCAGTTTTTAGTTATTAGTTTGCTCAGCAGCTCAAAATCTTGTGCTTGCTTTAAGTAGTGTTCCCTTGGATTCTCACTAAAGCATCTGTCCCCTTTAATACAAATGATTTCTGCTGTGCTAAGAGCTGAATCTGTGGCCCATAATTCAGGTGGCATTTACTGCAGCGAGGTCCCTGTAAATCAAAGTCTGAGCTTTACATAAAAAGTTCCTTTATAAAAATATAAAACCCAGTATTGTGAAAATGAAGCGGTCGTGCTCCCCACCAGGGTTGTATGGGAAGGGCCTTTGCTACCATGCTTGCTTAATGGCACAAGTGAAAAGCTGAGTAAGGCAAACACTTGAAGAGGCAGTCTGCTGTAAACTGTTTGGGGAGGGAGGAGACTGATTGGGGACGGTCAAGATCAGTGAGGACAACATTGGGCTACAGCTATCACGTGACAACACGGTCTGGCTACTGCCCTGGGATTTTCATGCCTCCTGCACGCCAAGGTCAGGGCCAGAAGGCAGGGAGGTCAAAGGATGACCGCCTGCCTGCCTTTTCGCTGCTGAGTATAGCCTCCAACTGTTCTGTGCTGTGGAAACAAGCACTGTTTGCTTGTTGGCTCCAAAACATTCCTTAATGATAAGTTTAAAAATAAGCTAAGTCATTAGAAAAGAGTTCCTTAGCTTAAAGCTGTTTAAGAAATCTATTCCAACCACTAAGCTACCTTTTTTTTTTAAGAGAAGGTGCTCTACACAAATGCTGTAAATAATGAGTATTTCCCACCCACTTGGTACCCAAAGCAACCTAAGTCACTAAGCAGCAGATTGTAATGACACTTGGAAAATAGACACTGATCTTGCAGGATTTATGGCCTCTTCTCATGTCCTCACTTGGAATTTTCCAGCTTTCGTGATGTATTTGACTCCTTTAAATGGCTTATATTTCTCTCCGTACATGTCAAGGCGATTTACTTTCAAGCCTGTGTGAAGAGGAAGAGGGGAAGGGAAAGAGAGTGAGTAACTATCACATCACATCAACATTCCCTCTGCATAAATGTGCAGTGTGGAATAAATGCCAAATAGCAGTTTTTGAGGTTTAACCAAACAAACCGCACCTGTCCCACAAAGATGATGCAACCTCAACTGGGCATTTGTTATTCACTCACACCACAGACAGGGTTTCAAGAAGTATGGTATTTGCTTACTTATTATATACTCTGCTTTTATGTGCTTGAGCGACACAGACAATTGAATTATTGCCATAGTCCTCCAAAGAAAAATTGCTTTGCTAATAGAGGTGTTGCTACTTATCAGTGGTACATGAAAAATTATGGTTTATAGTTTAACTTAAAGAAAAATTGAATGGTGATGCTTTTTGGAGACAGCCATTTCAGCACCTCTCACCTTCCCCAAACAGGACAAAGCGATGTAATATCCTGACCTGAAATAGCAAGTTGCTGAATCTTGAACTGAATGTTGAGGCTTGGATTTTCTTCTGGTTTGGGGGCTCCAGATTGTAAATTCACCAATCCTTTAAGACTCGGGAGCTTCTGGGGGGTAATCTTGCCAATATCCCATGTTAACATCTTATTAAATGAAAACCAAAATACAACAGCCATATATTAGTGAGAGGTATTCTGAAGTCAAAGTAATACTGCCATAAGCCTCCTCTATACAAGGGTGCATATTCTCTGAAGTACAATGCAGGGGATGGAGAACTGGACAGGAACTCAGGAAACTTGGAATTCTAGACCTGGCTCAGTCACAAGCAGCTAGAAGTCTTTAAACAAGTCCCAAGGTCTGGGGCCTAGCTGGTTCATCTGCACAATAAGGGACTTGGCATCTGTGATCTTTAAGTCTTCCTAACTCACTCCTATCTTCAAGGCTGGCAGCTCAATGACTAAAAATGACTAAACTACTGAAAAGAACCAGATTCCTCATAAATAACATGGGGCAGTGAATCATTTTTATATTTCCTGTTACTCATATGAAAGCCCTTCACCAAAAACACATTTATACAATGAGAAGGGGCTTTATATCTTAGAGAGGAAGAAAAGCACACTCTGTGGAAACTGATACAAAAAGGGACTGTAACGAATACCACACCTCATATTTACACAGAACTTTTACATCTTAAAAGTGTGGCTTTTATGTTCATTATTTTAATCTAGTGAATGCTGGAAATCCGGGGAGTCAAATGGTGGTCAAATGGTAAAGGCATTTTGTCTAAGGACCAGCTCTCCTTCCTGATAAAGTTAAGCTGTACCTTTGCCCTTTCTTCCGCTCTGCACCTCCTTTCTGGCTCCCAAATTCTTCCTCCTGCCAAGCAGCTGCATGGCACAATATGTACTCTGGCCTTAAAGGAGGAATAATGTGCTTCCTTATAGCTTTCTGGAAATAAGCATATTTCCATTTCTAAGCTATGATGACTGCTGTAGCCAGAGATTCGTTTAGTGAAAAACTGGAATTGCAAGAAATATCCTGAAAGAAGACACAGTCACATTCCTATTTCTCCTCTGCATTTATTAACTCAGTTTTCATCAACAATTAGTAAAGGAATAAAGTTCAGGTTGGATCTTGCTAACGATGACCAAGGTTTTCTCTCCTTTCTGTGAACAGATTTTGTTATAAGACTATGATAGATAAGTAGGTATTAGCTACTTTGAAACTGATCACAAATTCAAGCAAAAATACCCTAAAAAATAAACAAAGCATGGATTCCCCGCTAGTTCCCCAAAGAGTCCAATCAGATAAGCACCTTTTTTCTGCTTGGAAGCTTTTGTGGACAGCAGCAATCTCAGCTTACACAGAGGCCAAAGAACTCATCTTAATGAATGAGAAATTTAGGGTGGAAGAAGACCCTGCCCATAGAAAACAACTGACTGCCCAATCACTCTTGGCTACAGATGAATTACAGAGAAGCGCCTTACCTTAGTGACAGGATCAAATGTGTAGCTGCCTTGTGTAGGAGTTAAGTTCATGTTCAGTACGACTTTGGGCATGTGAACTGTCACTGTGATGCCTTCAATGGTTTTTCCCATGTTCTGCTTTGGTCCAATAGTAATGTCAAATCTGCCACAAGAGCTGTTCTCCTTAAAGCTGATGTTATGTTTCACATACACTGGAATTGCCACTAAACTAGAGACGGGAAGGAGGCGGATAAGAAGGATTATGTGGTCACAGAACATACACAAAAGAGACCCTCCTCTGCCACCCACTGAAGGACCACTAACTCCCAGAACCTCGACTTCCTCATCTATGAAATGGGATAGTTAGAATGGCAGCTGCCCTTGTACTGCAGTGGTGGGTACCACTTTAGGAGATAAGAGCTAAGAAAAAGCCCAGCAAGCTGGGACAATTCACACGCCCACCCCATTCCCCTCCAGTTCAAGGACATGTAGATGCCACAGTCAGTCCTTAGAATTCTAAATGTAAAAGTTCTCCCTTTATGGAACAGGCAAGTCCCTGCTAGTAAGCTCTGTCCTGATATTTCTCAGATTCTTCTGCTACTTTCAGGGAAGGAATCCCTGAACGAACAAATTACCAAAAACATTATCTCAAAATATTTAATCTCAAACTTAGCACAAAGAAAAATACTGTGAAGTGTGTTCACCAAGGTCTCTTTGGACACACTTCAGGGAATCCTTCATGCTGCTGTTAGCCCACAGAATGGGAAAAGATACTAAGGTGTGGAGGGAAGACCCTCCGGATCTCTCTTTGCCTGATGTACAGTTAGAACTGCTGATGCTCATCTATAGACTTTTAGAAAGCCCTATCTTCTCTTGCTTTTGCTCTTGCTGAAAACTCATCTTTTCGGTTTTTCTTTTTCTTTTTTTTGTCTTGCTGCCAGCTTACTCAAAGGGGATGGGTAAAAGGGATCTTTTAAGGCAAAATATCAACCAGCAGACTAAAACAAAAATGAGCTCAGCACAGGCACATTAGTATGCATATAATCTTTGTAAAAACAAACTTTTGGGACAGCTAGGTGGCACAGTGGATAGAGCACTGGCCCTGAAGTTAGGAGTACATGAGTTCAAATCCAGCCTCAGACCAAACACTTGACACTTACTAGCTGTGTGACCCTGGGCAAGTCACTTACCCCCAACTGCCTAAAAAAACACCCCCCAAAAAACCCCCTTACTTTTGTGAGCTGACACGGTAGGAAATGAGTCGGAAGTTTCCATCTGGAGGAATAAATGATAGGACTCTTTCTGACTCCCAGCGTTTGAAACGAATGCAGGGGTGGAAGCTGACATCATCTAGAAGCCTTGGGTTCTACAAGAAAAACAAAAAGAGATTTATATCCATTCATTTCTATAGATGAAAATACAAGGACACATCTTAGGGAGAAGCAAAAAAATTAAGTGGTTGTAAGTAAGTTGAATTGTAAGTAATTCAAAATATTAAACATCTTTAATAAATAGTAAAGCAAAATTATTATTAAACAGAGAAAATGACACTTCTAAAAAGTCCTGTGGGGTTGAGTAGCCAACTTCAACTATGTCTAAAATTCCCAGAACCTTTTCCTTAAAGGCCTAGTAACCAGGTAGGGAACTATTATTACTTCAGTGAGGTAATATTTGTAATTACTGCTGCCAGTCAGGATCTGGGAACTGCTCTCAGTATTTCTTATTTCACACGGTCATTTGGGTACATTAGGACTGCTTGCCAAGGACATGAGACTTTGGAGAAGGAAAAGAAAACTTACCATGAAGGAAAGGGAGAGATCAGGCATTCCAGAAAGTTTAATGCAAGCATCAATGACCCCTTGAATTTCTGCAAAGACTGTGGAACCTAAAGCAAGGGAAACACACTAAACAGCACAGTTTTGCTAAGATCCTTTGAATCTGGGTCTATGCCAGGGATATCGATATATCTAGAGTAACTGAAGATACCCTTAGGTGTCGGGCTCAATGAAAGTTTTGTACCTCAATAAACAGATCAATGAAAAGAAGACTGATTACATGACCTCAGTTTCCTGAATGCCATGGCCTTTTCCCAACCTGTCTTGGAAGCTAATGTTTCTGAGAAATATACCCATCATTTTATTTCACCATCAAACCATTTTGTAGGGCTGTTCTACACAGCGGTTACAAATCATATTCAGAACCAGTCTCCTAATAGAAAGGGTTACACTTCTTCTATCACTTCATGAAAAGAATGGTCACCAAGTATGAAGGTATCATAATAAGTAGCCCTTTTAAAAAACCTGAGAAATGTAGGAGAGAGACTTCAGGAACACTATGGAGAATAGGGAGGGACAGGGTCATATTGATGCTAAAAAAATAGTCACTCAATTACACATGCTCAATAGCTTTTAACTAATAGTTCACTGAAATTAAAGTAGAATTATAATAAAATAAGAATAGATTTTCAAAAACATCATTAAAATAAAGTCAGTGCCTTTTACCAGATAACCTGGGGCATCTCAACTCTGCACTCCACTTTTATCAACTGCTTTACTTTCCCCCTATATAAGTTCAGAGGCACCTACCTGATTTGTCTATAATTGCATCTATTTCTTCAATTACATCAAAATAAGCTTCATTGTTTGTGTATTTCACACCTGCACGACGCCATGGGATGTTGGAAAGCTGTCCTGTGGGGAGTGTGTCCCCAACATTACTACTGCCTGAAAATTGGAGAGAAGGTTAAAAATACCTGTCTAGAACTATCACCAGAAAAACCTTTCTCTAGCTTAGTTCACAAAAAACTATTAACAGAACATATAGTTTAATGTTTAATCCTCGGATATGTCTGCGTGTGTACATCATGCATGTGTGGCCTCATGAACCGCGGAAGAAACGATGGGAGTTTTCAGGATTATTTTTGAAAACATCCATGGTGGCAAGACCAAATTTTGAGAGAGCAGAAAATAGGCATGTGGTCCTGTGTCCCCTGCCAAACCAGGTTGTATTCCTTTACTTTATCTCCTGCTTCCTGAGCGTTGACAGTACCTAACCTGATTCCAGGAGCTAAACACAACTTCAGCCTACTGCCATGGACAAAAGAAGAGGCTGGTTGTTTCCGTACTTTCTATAAAGTGTCTTCATTGAGAATCAAATGATAACAAAGTTCTTTGGTATTACCAATGCCACCAGGGATGCAGGCAGGCAGAGCCCCAGGCGAGGTCAAAAGAGGAATGATCTTCTTCTGCCACCCCTCCCTGCCCCCAGATGTAGGTGTCCTTCAAGAGAGGCAGGGTGGTGGAATGAAAAGAGGGCTGGGAATCAAGAGGCCTGCAGCAAAACCCCCCTGACACTCGCCTTGCCTCTCAGCCTCAGCTTCCTCACCTACAAAACGGAAGTTCAAGTAAGTTTCTGAAGGTCATTAGCATTCTATGATTCTAAGTCAATCTCAGGCTCAGGTTTGTCATTTGTAAAATGAATCCAGATGTATTTATCTCCCAGGGTGGTTGTGATCCTTTAAAGCCCTCAGTGATTTTGATCTGGCAGCTAGGTGGTGCAGTGGATAGAGTGCTAGGCCTGGAGTCAGGAAAACTCATCCTCCTGAGTTCAAATCTGGCCCCAGACATTTACTAGCTGTGTGACCCTGGGCCAGTCATTTGACCCTGTTTGCCTCAGTTTCCTCATCTCTCAAATGAGCTGGAGAAGGAAATGGCAAACCACTCTGGTATCTCTGCCAAGAAAACCCCAAATGGGGTCATGAAGAGTCAGATGTGGCTGAAACGACTGAACCACAACAACATCCTGATAGTATGAAGTGTTGTTGTTGGCAATGTGACATTTAATCACTGGCTAGCTCACTTGGAGTTTGAAGTATGTTTTTCTTTATCTTTTTAGTGACGGTGATTTGCCGAGTCTCTTGATCAGTGCTGTTTTCTGTGTATTCAGGAGCTAAAGCTGATTAGGCTAGTTGGTTCACATTCAGCCTAACATTGCCTCATCAAAATAAACAAACAAAAAGAGTGGTCTGTCTAGGGTCACTTACAAGGCCAGTATGAGTGAGTGAGATCATCTGAACCTCTCCTGATTCCAGACTCAGCACTCTGATGAAGAGATACCCAAAGTTTGTGTCCATTCTTGTTTCTTTCTTTTTTTTGCAAGGCAATCAGGGTGAAGTGACTTGCCCAGGGTCATGTAAGTGTCCTGTGTCTGAGGACACATTTGAACTCAGGTCCTCCTGACTCCAAGGCCAGAGCTCTATCTACTTGTGCCACCTAGCTGCCCCTCGAAGGCCATTTTCTCTAGAGAATCAGTAAGTCTCTACAGTCACACAATGATAAGCATAAATTCTAAGATCCTGCTGTGTGATTGATTTTAAATTTTTTTAATTTTTTTTTTATTTTTAGGCAATTGGGGTTAAGTGACTTGCCCAGGGTCACACAGCTAGTGAGTGTCAAGTGTTCGGTCTGAGGCCAGATTTGAACTCAGGTCCTCCTGACTTCAGGGCCGGTGCTCTATGCACTGTGCCACCTAGCTGCCCCTGTGTGATTGATTTTAAAAAAGAATTTACCCCAAAGAACAAACTGCCACTGTGAAGAAGGTTCTCCTCAGCCAAGGTCTATCTTATGGGAATATTCACATTACCGCAGGCTCTGTGATGATCACAGTACCAGCTTTGCTCAGCCCTCCTCCAAGTACAGAGCTCATGAGAGGTGCTAGACAAGGAAATGGGACAACTGTATTCCCTAAGGTCATGGAAGATCCTTTGTACAGTCCAAACAAAGCAAGGATTTTCTTCTGGTGGTGAGGGTCTCCAAATGCCCCTATTTGCCAATGACATCATAGTACTTACACTGAGAATTGAGAAGCTTACAAAGATTCCTCAGTGAAAATAAAGCAAAAGATACTGCTCTGTGTACACTTGAGAAACAAAGATGAAAACTCACGCTGTTCAGACTGTGACATGCAACTGGACACAGCCTACTAAATTAGTTTATCAATACACGTATCTTAGATAAGTACTACAGAGAGATAATGAACTGGGCCTGGAACAGAAGAAGAAATGATGCTGGATTACTCAGCCACCCACCCACTGGCCTGAGTGCACACACAGCTTTCAACAATTCCCAAACTGTTCATACTACCAAGTTGGTTGTTGTTCAGTCATTTCAGTTGTATCTGACTCTTTGTGACCCGACTTGGGGTTTTCTTGACCAAGACACTGGAATGGTTCGCCATTTCCTTCTCCAGCTCATTTTACAGATGAGGAAACTGAGGTAAACAGGGTGAAGTGACTTGCCCAGGGTCACACAGCTAATAAGTGTCTGATGCCAGATTTGAACACACAAAGATGAGTCTTCCTGACTGTCCACTATGCCATATAACTGTCCATACCACAAAAGTACACCTTTAATGCCAATTTGTGATGCTATAAAAATGAACAACAAAATCCCAGAATCAACATTACGGATAATCCAAAGGGTAATGGAAATATCCACTGTGGGTGTTAAGCTGGCTACAGAATTTACTAATCAATACATATGCTCAATGTTAACGAGTGATGTTACTCTAGGAAAAGGAGATAGGTTGGTCATGTAGCGAAAATGAGACACAGAGGGAACACTTGGAGACATTTCTCTAAGACGTTTTTATGTTATCAGCACACAGGCTCCTTCTGTTTGTATTTGTGTGATGCATTTGTTTTGATCTATATCACATATATATATAAAATACATATACATATGGACACGTATATGTATTCAAGTACTATGTTAAGGCTTAGCAGCACATAATAAAGGCTTTTTCGAAAAAATTCATTTATCCATCCTATTTCAGTTCTGTATTTTTAAAAAATCTCATGTTGCTAATTAATTTTAACATGTTTATGTCTTGCCTCTTAGATTTTAAACTCCTCCAGGTAAGAGATCACACCTTAAACTTCTTTGTTGACCCAAATACAGTGTCTTGCATATAGTGGGTTATTAATAAATATTTGCTGGCTGACCAGGACCAGACTTTTAAAAATAACAATAATTTTAGCCCAGGGTACCAAGAATACTTAAGAAAAGGACTTTCAGAGTTGTCTAGCATATTTGATATGACATATGCTGCTTTATGAAATCCTTGAAGAGGTATCTAGGTTTCAAAATCCTTTTTGGAAAATATTTCCAAATGAATGTAACTACCTTTACCCAGATACAAGAGTTAAATGAATCAGATGTAAAACCTTCTAACATGATTAAGAGGTCTCAGGAATGGAATGAATTTCCTATTTATTTCCTACCATAACCTTTGCATGGACAAAACTATAGTGCTAACTATAGTGTACTAGAGTATTATAGATAGGCTCATTAAATATTCCAGTGTAGTGAGTATTTAATATGGTTAGATTAGAATGTCTGCTTTTTATACAAATGAAGGAAGGAAATATTAAGAGCCTGCTATGTGTCACAACACTGTGCTATGCACTTTATAAATATTATTTCATTTGATCTTCACAATCACCCTGAGAGGAATGTGCTAGTATTACCTCCATTTTACAGATGATGAAACTGAGGCACACAGAGGTTAAGTGAATTGCCTAGGGCAGATGTGAACTCAGGTCTTCCTGAGTCCAGGCCTAGAGCTCTAACCACTGTACTACCTAGATGGAAATGCACTGTCTAACATTTCTTCTAAGAAGTCACATACCATGGCCCACATGATCCTTACATGCAGCTTCTGAAGTCTCCCCAACGTAGTCCTAATAAATGTATATAACAGTGTATGAAGGAATGCAAATGCATTTTGCTTTTGATGGATAAACTTACTTTAATGAGCAGAAATCCCTGTCTGAGGACTGTAATAAGATGCAAACAGTAATAGTGTTGTAATCTTTAAATAGAAACAACAAAAATATCTGGTCATTTGGAAAATAAGCTCCTTACATACATGGACTGTTTTGACGCTGAAATGAACTACTTGCTGAATCAATACAGCACTACTGTTAACCACTGTCCCTAAAAAGATATCTACATCTGTTGCTGCATATACTGGACCATTATTCTCATCAAAGCCTATTTAGCTTTAATACTTTGTATATTGCTTTAGAAAACAGTCTTTTCATTTTATAGTTTTTAGAAGAATACCTCACCGTACCTGTAATAGAATTGACAACAGAGCGCAGAATTGTGGGTGGTTTAATCAGTTCTTTCAAGATGTTAGATTCAGTTGCCAGAGGAAATCCATTGTCTAGCATTTCTTCCAATAGTTCATATACTATGACCACATTATCCTTAATCGCAGCCTCCGAACACTCACCAAAGTAGTCCTAACAAAATGCATATAATAATGTATGAAGGGAAGCGAATTCATTTTACTTCTGACAGATAAACTTACTTTAATGAACACACATCCCTGTCTGAGGACTGCAATAAAGTACAAAACAGAAGAAACATCTTTAGTTACGATTCTGTGTATTGTTCTCATCGCTATTACTATTTTGGTAGTATTTTTCAGATAAGTTAAGACAATTAATTTCCATTAAATCTCACAAACTTACTGAAATCACATTTTATATATAAGCAAAGTCTTGTATATAAACAATGAATATGCTGGCAGTTTTTTGAGGGGAGGGGAGGCATTAAAAAGCACATGTGTAAGCAGCCTCATTTGCCATACTCTTTAATAGACAGGCCTTGACCTGTGATTCCATTGGTACACAGAGCTCTTGGTGAGGACCTTGTCTACTAGTGCAGGTTGGCATCTTCTCTGCCAAATTAAGAGCTTTAGTCAGTGGCCTAAATCATGGAAAAGTGACTGGAACGGAACCCAAGTCTTCCTGGGTTTTCTACTCACTAAGCCTCCAACAGAAGGTATGGAGGTAAAACAAGATTCTAGAGCAGAGGCCTAACAACTTAAAAACATTATCGGTACTTAAATGTCTTTCTATCCTGTGTCTGTAAAATCCTTACTAAAGCAAGTTAGGACATAAATGATGAATAACCTACCTGAAAAGTGTCTGCGACTCGATGCAGAAACTCAATGACAAAGAGTGGTGGCACCTCTGTTTGTATGACAGACACGAAGAAAAGTTTGTCCCTGTAGATGCTGATGAGGTAGTGGTGAGGCGTTGAGATGACAGGTGGCACATTCTCAACATCAGCAGCTTTCTCTTGGGCTTCAAAGAAATAGTCACAGACAGACTGGCTCACGACACTCTTCCAATGTTTTTCCAGGAAGATGTCCCCGGAACAGTTTATGAGGAACAGACTGTGGATCATGTTCTGGAAGAGGAAGGTTTAAAACTCTTCTCATCAACTGATATTTACTGAGGGTTAACTTTGTTTTTTCTAGTTGAAAAATTTCATTATTACAGACCCTTATCTTTTCCAGTTATTTCATATGAAATTATCCACCTAGGAAACCACCTGAAATATAATGCAGGGGTCTCAGGAAGGTCTTAGGAATGGGCCAACAATCCAATCATTTAGTAGAGCATTACTGAATGCTGAAACACAAAAAATTAGCACTAGGAGGAACATTATGGATCTGGCCTAGCCCTGAGGCCTCAAGAAGTAGAATAAAATTATTCACAAAAATCTTGTAGTATTCAAACAATACTACTTTGTTTTTGTTGCTCCTTATTCATGATTTTATTCCAATAGGGAACTCCCCATGAAAATTCCTTCTACCAGTAAAGGATGGCAACTGTTCTGTATCTTACAGTCTTCAGAATTTTCTGGAGGCACTGAGACATTAAAATAGCTTGCTCAGGGTCACACAGACAGTACATTTCAGAGGTAGAACATGAACCTTCTGTCTCTAGGACCATTTCTATTCACTTTGCAATGATTCCTCTTAAAACAATACTGCCTAGCACAATTTGAATAATTATCAAGTAACACTCAACAGTACGATAACAATCACAGCTTTGTGACCATGGGATGTTAATATATAAGTATAATTGCAACTAATAGTTTAGAAGGCTTAGCCATTAAGAATAGTAGGTAAAATGGCTTCAAAGTCTGCAGAGTGAAAGAGATTTAACACCAGCTATCTGCCAAAATTTTGTACTTGATCCAATCAGAGGTTTCTCTCTTAGGCTTGCTTTGACTTACAGTCTCACATTTCTGTCTGGGTGTGAAAATACTAGAGTGGCTCTAGAACACATGAGCTTAATGCAGAAACTAATTAGTCAAGAGTTTCTATCAAGAATAAAGAATTTATGGTTTATATTTTGTGGAAAATCTTGTGGAAATCTTGGCTGAAGATTATTTCTACTTTTTGTTTCTTTAAAACAAATATTCTTGATGAAAGATACATATGAATGATAAATTTTATAAAATCATTTGATGTAACATGTGCTAAATCACAGAATCATCAAGCTGGAAAGGATTTTGGAAGGCGTCTTGTCCAAATTTCTCATTTTATAGATAAAAAAAGAGGCCCAAAGTAATTCATCCCATGTATAATTTAAAACCATACAAGATTCCTTCAAAGATGTCATATGAGATAACTTTATATCAAGCCAGGCATAAAACAGAGACATGAGCTTGGAAATGGTATTCGTCAGCAGAGTCCACGTGGAAGAGAGATTCTCTATAGAAAGTAAGGGCTCTACATATTCCTTAAAGCAGATTATACTGTGAAGACTGAATGAAGACCTAGAAAAATGCAGAGCATCTTAAATTAAATCATAATCATCAAAACGAGCATAGCTAGTTCATCTACCAGGAAAAATCAAGTGGACGAAGAATGTCTCTTGTTTAGACTATGACACAATTGACAGGCAATAGCACAGTTAGCCCAAATGAACTACTGTATCAATATGTATATCTTGAATAATTAAAATGGACAATAAACTTGGCCTTAAAGAGGAAGAAAGTAGACTAGATTATTCAAGATAATAACAACAAAAGATGACCAACCGGCATCTTTTGTTCTTCTATCAGCTACATTTCCCAATCTATTCCGGTGCCCTACCCTTGGCTCTGGGGCCACCTCTTACAACAGAGAATAAGAAAAAGAAAGAAAGAGAGCCCAGCAAAACTAATCATTAAGTCATCCAAGTCTAACATTACATGGAGTGCTCCTTAGCCAAATCTCCCATCTCCCCCAAGAAGGGAAGGAGTACACGTTCATCTTTCCTTTGGGTTTGGGGCCAAGTTTGCTCTGATTTATAATCTCATGTGTTTGATTTGGTGTTATTATTGTTCTTCCCACATTTTTATACTACTTGTATGTGTTACAATCTAATCATTTTAACACCAACATTCAAGTGATGTTATACATCTAGAAAGCACGGGATACAGTAGATGAAGAATCAAAATTATGGTTCACTCAGAGATGCAATGGAGAAGTGGGTGTAAATGTACTGTGGCATACTAGCAATGAGTAAATGTATATAAGAAATGGCATAAAAGGTATCATTAAAAAGACACATGACCAGAAGAGGATATGAACTAGTCATGAGTGAGAGGAAGGGAAAGACTGATAAGAGAACTTGTGTTCCACTAGCACCACCACATGGAATAAGCAATCCCAGAGCAAAGATTCCTAAACCTTCTCCTATCATGGACCCCTTTGGCAGTGTGATGACACCTATGCAATTCTTCTCAGAATATATATTTTTTTTAATTAAAGGAAAAGCTGAATTTCAGTTATAGGTTAATGAAAATAAAGAAGTAGGTTTCCCCCCCACCCCACCCATATTCATGGACTCCCTGAAATCTATCACTGGACCGTTTGGAGGACAACAGACCCCAGGTTAAGAGCCTCTGTCCTGAAGGAAAGAACCCCATCATGTTGAATATTGAAGCATGTACGAGCTTCCTTGGTCCTAATGTGGCTGGAAAAAATAAACCCTCTTGAGGGTCAAAGAAGTTCAAATTTGGCTTTTATACTAAACACAGTTGAGAAGCATAAGAATGATGCTTTAAACTTAGTACTAAGGATAACAGTGATAAATCTGGACTGTTTGGCTGTATTGTACTCTGCAGAGACCCTGAATAACTGCCAATAAAAACAGCTTTTATGTTAGAAGATTTTCCAGGAAGGAATTCTTTCACTACAAGATTAAACTAAGAGAGAGATGATAGAGCTCTGACCCTAAACTGAGAAACTCCAGAGTTTCTTTAGTGTGTCCTGTGGCAAAAGAAACATGGATTCATCCGAAGACCACTGTCTGGTTTACTTTGAGTAGTTAAGCAGATATCCCGTGTCAGGTTATACAAGTATAATTCCTACTAGAGAATGTATAAAAAGCCTAGTGAACACCAGAGGTTATGTTCAAAACCACCTGAACATCTGTAAGACAGATGGCCATAAATCTTAAAGTGAAATGGCCACAGTGAAGAGTATCTATGGTAACTATTTTTCACTCAGCCGATTTTTCTTCTGGTCTACATAAGCAATGAAATATTCCGTGGAGAACTAGGCTCCTCAAAGCCTACTCTGATCCCCTGTCATGTTGCAGAGGTAAACCTGGGATCTTGAGGGCTACGGTTTCACAAGCTTTGGCAGGTCCTACCAGGCTGGAAAAGTTTGGGGCCGAACAATGCACTATATGTCCATCTGAAGGTGAACTTAGCCAAGTCTGAAGTGGATCATCTCTAGAAGACTGGTAGGTAATGAATTTTTTCAGTTACAGAAACTTATGAAGATGATATAGTAAGTGGTGAGGGCTTACAATCTGTGTTAGTAAATGGGAATAACCACATCACAGAAACAATATTCTTGAAGTACTAAGTTGGTATCACTTAATGGAAACAGCAGGTCTAAGCCCCAACTGTCTATAAAGGTGAAGTCAAGGTTTTTCCACTCATTCTTCTAGGCAGTTATCTCTAGAATTAAGTGATACTGAATATCCTATTCCAGAAGGGAAAATGTTCAGGTTAGCAACTCATCTGATTTCCCCAAGTCTCTCTACTGATTCCTTCCTTCATGTATTCCCCAGGTGCTTAACTTTCCAAACTTCTGTCTTATACTTTACAGTATCACAAATACGAGCTCACATTTATGGTGTTTTAGAGTTTAAAACACAATTTTAGCCAACTTTCACAAACAGTTTCTGTTTATAGTTCATAAGTTATATGAACTTGATGGGTACTTGCAATTTTTATCCCTGGAAATAATGCTCAACTTGGACTCTGTCCTTTACTAACTTTAAGATCTAGGACAAGTCACCCAGATTCTATGGGGGAAAATCACACAGTTGACACGTATGAATTAGAAACTGTACAATAACCTTGTGGCAAAGGAGAGCTTATCTAATAAAGATAGTGAACAAGATGACACGACACATTATTGTACTGTACAAGATAAATATGAAGAATTTAGAGGTCTTTAAGTAGATTCAGATAAACAAGAGTTTATAAAAAGCACACCCAAAGAAATATATACATTGACTACAACCATATGAATGAAAAAACAGCAGCAAAACTCAACTTAGCTACAAGGGACAATGCTGATACTATCTGTTAAAGCCTTCCTTTCTTTTCACAAATAGCAAATTATAAAGATGTAAATTGCTTTTTTTGTGTTGTTTTGCTTAACAGTTTTAGATGTATGCATTTCTTTGTGCCTCTCTCTTTATTCTATTAAAATAAAACATCAATAAAAGGGAAAATTTAAAAAAAATCCTCCTGCAACGTCACTTACCTCTTCTATTCCAACTGCCACCACTTTTAAGTTCAAGGCATTAGCCTCCCAAATAGTTTCCAAGCCTCCGGTCTCTCTGCAGACCAGTTGGCTGAAATCACATTACATCATTTTTAATGGCTTCTCAATGCCCACAAACTAAAAGTTCAACTTCACTAGATATGAATTCAGAAGACCTGGACTCAAATATCAGCCTTGCAACCTACCACCTACATGACCCTGAGCTAGTGACACAGCATGCTATCCCATGCTGAAACTGCAGTGTGGTGTAGCAGATAATAAAAACATTGGACTTCGAAAACCTGGGTTTGAATTTTATTTTTGACACTTGTCAGTGTGACCTTCTAACAGTGCCTTCTAATATGAAACATGCCTGTGATCTTATCTTTCCAATTTCTACTCTGATCACTCTTCCAAACAGAACTACTAGAAGAACCTTATGTATGCTTCCCCCCTCTCTCTGCTCAAGATTAGCCCTCTACCTTGTTAAAATCCTACTCATACTTCAAAGGCTCCCCTTAAATCACTTAATGGGGTTCATTTATACTGCTTACAGGACACCCAGCATTCCCTACCTCATGCTACAAAACCCCCCCAGCATTTTAAACACTTGTGTGCAGAGCACTATGTACACGACAGGGAAGATGTAAAGTTTAGATAAATTTAAAAGGCTTCACGGAGTTTACAAGCAAGGAGATAAAATAGTAACAGACATCTAGAATAGGCAATATAGTACAGTAGAAAGAACGATGGAAAAAAGAAAAAAAGAGAAAGAAAGAACAATGAACTCTGATGTAGGAGAAACCTGGGTCCATATTCTACCTTTGGCACTTTGACCCTGGGGAAATCACTTAAACTGTCTGAGCCTCTGTTTCCTCATTTGTAAAATGGGTATAATAATACTTCTAGTTCTTTATAGAAGTGAAAATATATAAAAATATTTTATAAAACACAATGTCAGCCATCATAATACATAATAACAGTGTAATGTTTGAGAACAAAGCATTTTTTATGGAAAGGCTTTTAACAGAAGGTGGGAATTCAACTCGTGAAGAAAGTGGGGGAGAACTTTCCAAGTACCAGCAATAGCCTGAACAAAGGTACACTGTGCCGTGTGTTAGGTGTCAGAACTGTCCATCATGTGTGTGGGAGTGGGGTGGAGGTGGGCCTTTGAGGTAGGAGAGACTGAACTTTTTACTTCACAGGCAGATTTCTGAGCAGAAGAGTGAGTTCAGCAGTCCCATTTTAAGTCCTGGGAAGGAGAAGGGAAGATCTAAAGGCCACTATTGCAATAGTTCAAGGCTTCACATCCACCCAAGTACCCGTAAGGGCATCTAGCCAACTGCCCTAGGGCTGCCCTCATTCTCCCCATCAGGAACAGAGACACTCCATTTACCTGCTGGTCTGACCCCCCTCAACTCTGGCACTCTGCCTGAGGCTGCGCTGCTTAGAACCCAGGCTATACCTAGCCAGTCCCAGACCATGCTTCACATCTCAGCCAGCCATCAGCCAGGATCTCAAGTCCTTCCTAGAGCTGGCATTCCTTCTGCTGGAGCATGGGCAACCCTTTCAAGCCCTCACTTCTACGTCTCTCTTTTGTTCAAGAACAATAATCAAATCCACACTGCCACAGCTGTTGTCAAGAGCATGACAGTCCGTCAAGCATTTGTCAAAGGCTTACTTTGTGCCGGACCTGCTTTAAAGTGTAGTTCGACATAATGCTATTTCATAGGTATTTGTATAACACTGAAAAAGTGTGCTCTAGCGCCTGCCACACTCCACGATTTTGGGCAAATCACTTAAGTTTTTCTAGGCCTTAGTATCTCTATCTATAAAATGGGAATGCAGCCCCAACAGTTCTCTCCCCCGACTCCAGCCCTATTGAACAAGATAATGTGCCACTTTTGAAACTGTAAAATGCTGAAAAAAAATGTAAGGTGTCTGTAGGGTTTTTACATTATTTTGGAGGGACGTGCTAGGGAAATGGAAAGAGCCCTTTGCTGGACCAGAAGTTACGTGGCGGACGTCAATGGCTGAGGATCCAAAGAAAAAAGCACAAATGAGGGCTCCGCTGGAGCTCCCCTCGAAACCCCCAGACTCCGACTCCCTTTGGACCACTAACCTCTAAGTGTAGTGATATAGATACAGAGCCGCGAGTTCAAATCCTCCCGTGACTCCCAACAGTCCCCGACCTCCCTGCTTCCTCATTGGTAAAACGAGGATTATAAGTGCTTTAAAGACCCGTATAAATGTTCACTGTGGTGGTGGTGGTAATCATAACAACAAGACCAGTTATCATCGTAGTCCCCCCTTGCACGCCTGACTTCTACATCGTTTTGGAGTCCCAGGCACCGTGCCTGCATACAGTTGGCGCTTAATAAGCGCCTGCAAGTTGGTTTACTGAAGCACAGAGGTCGCAGGGAGCACGTCCCCTGGCCCGGCGGGCTTGGAGACACGTCGATCGGCCGGAGTCCGGCAAGGACCGGGCGCTGACCGGCAGGAGCGGGCCGCGTCCTCAGTCCTTCTCCGAGTCCCTCTCGCTTCGCCTGTCCCGGGCGCGGCCCTGGCCCTTCCCCCGCATCGCCCGGTCCCGCAAAAGCCACCCCACCCTTCCCGGCGGCACTGACGAGGGAGTGGGGGGGAGGGGCGCCGCCCCCAGCTCTGCGATCCCCCGCCCCGCGTGACCCCGGCCCCAGCCACCGCCCCGCTGCGCCCCTTACTTACCCTGAGGAGCCGGGCGGCCCGAGCTCAACCCCGGCCCCGTTCCGGAAGGAGGCCGCCGGCTCACAGGCTGTTGCGGCGGCGGTGGCGGCAGCGAGGACCTCGCGGTCCGGGCTGTCTTGCTCATTGCCTGAGGGAGGGCTTCACCGCCGCCGCGCTCAGATAGCCTCCTGGACCGGATGCCTGAGCAGAGCAAAGGTCTCCGAGGGCCTAGGGCGCGCTCCATCCCGAGGCAGAGGTTTAGGGGCCGACGGTCGGATGACTCTTGGGGTCAGGCGCCAGGGGCTGCCCGTCCGCGTGCGCCTGCCCCTCTCCCGCCAAGGCCCCTCTTGGGGGGAGGGGCGAAGACGGCCCGGGAAGCCGCCTGACCTGGGGGCGGGGCTCACAGTCTTGCGGAGCCCAAGGAGAGGGTATCCTGGGCCGGCCCACGAGAAGGCCGGGGGCGGAGGGAGGAAAGGGGGCGCGGTCTGGGCGTGGCCTCGGGGGGAGGGGTGTTTCTTTGGCGAGGGGCGCGGGAGAAGGGAGGGAGCGCGAAGATGGCAGCGGCAGATGAGGAGCCTCAGGCTAAAAAGCCGAAGGTGGAGGCGACGCCGCTGCTGAGGTGAGCGCCGCCGGGCGGGGATGGGCTGCACGTGGGGCCCGGAAGAGCCGGGTCTCGGGGCCGCCCCGCGAGGCCCCGGCCGGCTCGGAGCCAATCAGCGCGGCCGTCCGAGGGGAGGGGGCCAGGCCGGGCCCCACGTGGGCGCCCCAGGGAGCGGAGGCTCGGGCCGGCAGCGGCGCGGAGCGCGAGATCCACTGGTTCTGGGGTCCGGGGGAAGGGATGGAGAAGGGCGAGAGCACGGTCCGGGCGTCGGGAAGGACGGCGTCCGCGGAGACCCCGGCCCGCGCTCCGGTGCCTTAGGGGAGGGCCACGCGGGGCGAGGGGAACCAAGTCTATCTGCGTCCTGTCTGGAGCCTGGGCTGCAGGTCTCAAGTTAAACATTTGTCTCAGTTGTAATCATGTTGCTTGTAAAAAAAAAAGTTACTTATTCATTCGCTCCTCGGTAATAAATGCAATGCTTGCATCCTAAGGCTTCGCGACTTGGAAATCCGTGTGCACGCGATGGCAGCGAGATTTGGAGCTAAAAACAGGCCCTTCGGAGGATTGAGAACTATCCAGTCAAGGCCTATAGATATATGTATGTGTGTGTATGTGCACACACGCGCGCGCACATGAATGAGAAGAGACTTTTTAGACGCCTCACCACCACTTACTTCTATGCCTGGCATCCCCTTCCCCACCCATTCTCTCTCCAGCTAGGAAGAGGCAAAACAATGCACGTGCAAACTCGTGGGCTAGAATCTGCGGCTGTTCACAAGTGTGTTCCCGTCCCGACCAAGCACCGGGATCTTGGCAAGTCGCTTAATTTTCCCAAGCTTCGGTATTCCGTAGCCCTGGAATAGGGATGCAGCCCGCTTCCCTCTCAAGAGATAAGGGTCCAACGAGATAAATGTGAAAGCACTTGGAAACTCTATGTCTTACGTATATAATTGTTAAGTCGTTTCAGTGGTGTCCGAATTTTTGCGACCCCGTTTACGGTTTCCTTTGCAAAGATACTGGAGTGGTTTGCCATTTTCTAATCCAGCTCAGTTTTACAGATGAGGAAACTGAGGCAAACAGTGACTTGCCCAGGGTCACACAATTAGTAAGTATCTGAGGCTGGATTTGAATTCAGGAAGATGAGTCTTTTTGACTGCAGGCCAGGCACTCTCTCCACTTGAGCCAAAGAGGGAGGAAGGAGTAATATTAAATGATACAGTTTTGCAGGTTGTGGGGGTGATTTTGAAAATTTGTTGCCTTCTCATAGGAGGTGTTTAATAAATGTTTATTGGGGGCAGCTAGGTGGCGCAGTGGATAGAGCACCAGCCCTAAAGTCAGGAGAACCTGAGTTCAGATCCAGCCTCAGACACTTAACACTTACTATCTGTGTGTGACTCTGGGCAAGTCACTTAACCCCAATTGTCTCACCAAAAAAAATAAATATTCATAAAGAGCATTCCACCTTCTTCCTGAACCTGAAGTTATTCAAGTCCCTCCAATTGAATATTGGCTCTTCAGTGGGCAAGTCTTATTACCTTTCTGGTCACAGTTTCCTCATCCAAAAAATGAGGAGGGGTGAACTAGTGACTTCTTATGGATCTTTCCAGCATTAAGGCCTTCTGACCTGTGCATTTAATGATATTTTTGATTACCTTAAAGCTGGGTTCTTAACTTTTTTTTTTGTCATGAGCCTCTGGCAATCTTGTGAAGCCTATGGACCCCTTCTTAGAATGATGTTTTTAAATAACAGGAAGCAAATGCTGAATTACAGTTGGAGGTTAGTGAAAATAAAGACTTAGTTTTTTTTTCCACCATGCAAATTCACAGACTTCCTGAAACCACATGGACCGCTTGGGCGTGGAGGTCTGTGGACCTCAGTTTAAGAACCTCTGCCTTAGATGGTTCCTACGTCTAGCATTACACCTAGGAAGAAATTACCACCATCCTGCAGTGTTTTTGAAAGAGGATTTGGCCAAATACATACTCATAAATCTGATATATTCTAATTATATTAGGGTTGTGGGTGGTCTGGTCTTTTTCATATTGTTCAGGGTAATGCTTCTATGCTTGTAAAGACTTTTTGCGCATGTGGCTGGCACTTATTTTTTTTAGTTCCCATCTCACATGCCTGGCAATGACACCAAATCCTTATGACAGTCACACATAAATCCACCAGATAGAGTTTACAAAGTCCATACCCTGGCTCCTGCGCTCAGCCCTCGTCCTGCAAAAATAAGAAACAAACTTTGAACTTGACTGTTGAAGTGCAGTTTGTTTCTACCACCCTTGTGTTCTCACTGTGAAGGTGATAAAGAACTTTATGTGTTCATGCCCAGCTTGCTTTTTTTAGAATCCACATCAGGATTTCATCTTGTTGAGTTTTTTGAAGTCATTGTAGTGTGGGAGTTTGCAAAATAGTGATACATCACTTTTCTGTAGGGTGGCTTCTCCATATGGCCCCCTCCAAAGTACCAGTGATCTCAGTGATCTCAGTATTCTCAATGCGTTGGCACTGGCATACTCTTCTCTCCCCACCTTTACCTCCTGGCTTCCCAGGCTTCCTACAAGATTCTGCAAAAATCTCATCTTCGGGTGGTTTTTTCTGCCTCAGGCCCGGAAACCCCCTTGTGCCTTACCTCTGAAATTACTTCCAGATTACGGGTATATCTTAGATGTCACTGGTTGTTTGCTTCTTGTCTCCTACCTTAGAAAGTGAGCTACTTGAGTGCAGCTTATTCTTGTCTTTGTGCTTAGCATAATTTCTGGCCCTTAGTAAGTGCTTAACTAATACTTGTTGACTATTATTTTTATTCTAGAATCTTTATTCATAAGGAACAATAGAAGATCACCTAAAAGAATTAAAATTGCAATTTAAAAATACAAACAGCACCTACATCTCACTTAAGGAAAGTCACCAATAATATAAAGAGAGGCTCTTTCCTATTACTAAAGAACTTTCCAACTCAGGTGTTTTAGTCATAAACTATCGGAGGAGACATCAGAGGGATTTCCTACACACATCGGGAGGATAGATTGCATAGATTATATCCTATTCTGCATGGATAGTTGTGATTGTGGATTCGCTATATTCATGTGTCCAGAAGCCATTTTCTTGGTTTATCGTGTGACCATAAACATGTGATCTGATGTAAAAACAATACCATCAACAATAATAACAACAACAAACAACAAAGGCCCCTGCCTTTGTTGCACCTCATTGCTCTCTAGAAGAGATTGGGAAAGCATAGACTGGTGTGTGGCAGCTATCAACAAGATCTGGGGAGGAAAAAGAATGCTGTGATGGGGCTAAACCAGTGTTTAACTAAATCCCAAATCCCAGGAAGAGTGCTTAACAATTATCAAAGCCAAGAAAGTCAACGTGAAATATTCAAGGAAACATAATACAAGATAACATTCTTTAGGTGTTGGAAAAAAATGGTAGCTTGGTTCATATACCAAGGCAATATTATTTTATGAGGATGGCACACAGTGACTCTGGTTCTCTTTGCCTTATCAGCATTTCTATGGGCCATACCACTCCCTAGAATGCCTGTTGCAACACTGAAGTTTCCAAATTTCCAAGGCTTCTGTTCTGCTGGAGTGGAGGATAGAGTGAGAATATAACATATGCAAAGATATAACACATACAAATGGTGTTTGTCTTTTCACATCCTCTTCTTGAGCCTTGGGCCTAACTTCAATACCAGTCATTGTGGGTAGAATGATCCTATATAGTTACTATTGAACAATATAATAATACTCAAAGGGGTGTAAAAGGTTTCTCCTCCCTAGTGATCAAGATGAAGATGATTGTACTTCACTACATTAAAGTGCCCTTTAATAACCCTGTGTGAATAGAGAAGGCAGACTTACAGAGGACTATAGGAAGCTATATTCAACATTGTTTTGTGAGGTGTTATGGCTTTGTCAACATGGTGGGCCAGGTAGCTCCAAGCTTGGGTCAATGGGAAGAGGTTATTGATCTTGCTAGTGTAATTTTCTCTATTCCTATAGCTGATTCCGTTCAGGAGCATTTTGCCTTTACCTGGGGCAGAGTTCAGTATACCTTCATCAATCTTCCTTAGGATTATTTGAATTCTCCTTTATATTGGCTAGAATGGTGGGCAGATACCTAAAAGAGATCCCACTTCCTAAGGACATTGAAATCAACCACTACATTAGTGCTATTTAGCTGACTAAGCTGGATGTGGCCACAGCTAACATCCACGTTAAAGGGCGAACGTCAGACATTGGCTCATATGAGGAGCTCAAGACTCTGAAAATCCAGAGTCTTTTCTTCTCAGTTGAGGTTTGGGGACTAATAGATAGCGAATATCCAGTTAATTCTGGATTTAATCCATAATAAATTAATAATAAATATAATCCATAATAAGCATAATAAGAACAATAATCGTTCTCCCACATACTAAAAAGCAAGTTCAAAGATTTATTACAATCTTTGGCTATTGGAGGACCCATATTCTCCACCATAATTCCTGACCTGCATATTTCTCATGACACCTAAAAGCCT